CCACTATTGAATAAGTGGTCAAATCATGAAAACAATCCTGGGTTTGTTGTAGAGTTATGTCTTGTCGTATGACACAAATGACGAATGTACCGTGTCTCTCAAGTTTATACCTTGCAAGTAACACGACATTTTAGGGGTTCATGAACAACTTAATACTACAATTGCATAAAGCATCTATTCGTATCTATAGATAAAGAACAAAAGCACCAAAAGACGTGCTTTAAAACCCTTTAACAAAACCGGTGGCAAATGAACATGCATAAATTTAAAAAAGAAAAAAATTCTTTCTCCCACTCATATTAATACTTATGGAGATATCGCGTTGTCTTTGACGTATTCACTGTATTGCACCTATACCAAATCATCAATGTAATGATTGATGTGTGTTTATATAACTGTCAATCAATCGGCCAGCGTTAACAGCTTTGATTGTCATCTATCAATCAAGGGAGGAAAAAGTTCCCTTGCAGCATTATTTTGATTGATGTTTGTTTACGTATTAGGCCACACTTTTTTATTTTTATGGATGACATCCTGCGCGCGCACCGATTTTCGCCCGTTCTCCGAAAACCCCCCCCCCCCCCCCCAGCCCCCGAAGTCGGTTGTCGCAAACGTCGTTATTGAATTTGCCAGGAAATGAGCTTTCTGCGCATGCATATAATCGCCACGTGGAAATGTGGCCGCTTTGCCGTCAAATTCATCTCTAGGATTACTTTCAAATTACACTACAATAAAAGTCATAAAGAGAACGGGCGCCGTCGTTTTGGATTGGTATGCCATTTATATTGGGCATGGAGATATCACCTTTTTACAATTATGCGAAAGGCTGGCGGCAGCCAGCGATTATCGCCCGAAAAATTTCTGTGACATTCTGTACAAAGCAGCACATACCAGGTTTTCTGTAGCGAAAAAAGAGTCGACAAGGGCGTCGAGGTATTTGGTGGACTGTAGGTCGGACAGGCCACCTGACAGTTTGGCTGCTGCGTGTGAGTCGAAGTAGACAAAATGGCATCGTCCGAAATGACCTTTAATAGATTTGGTAGTAGGCCCTATTAAG